TATGGTTTATAGACACAAAGTTGCAGGGGGTAAGGCCAGCACTGTCCTTCCACATACTTACAGCTGCATGCATACAGGGCAATCAAGAGGACAAAAGGGCCGGAGCCAGCATATTTAATCCTGTCCCTATGTAAACAGCTAATGGCTCAAACAAATGCTGATAACAACTAAAAAAGCCCTACTCATAACATCCATCATATTAGCCAGTGGGGGACATACATATGAATGTAATGCTTGAGGTGGCCAGCTTATCAACAGGGACCATGACAGTCTATTATTACAGGAATAATAAAGCTCTTAAGTAGGATAAAAGGAACCATTGGCCATGTCTACACCTATACAATTCAGCACAAGTCCTTCTGCCATTCGTAGAATTCTGTAGTGTGTGGGCAAGAATCAATAATTAGTCTACAAATGCACAATTAGTAATACTGCAGTTACAGTAGTGTACTGCAATATATTGTAGAAGTTCAAACAATATGCTTTATTTCACCCCTATCTCCTGTTTAAAAATGTCCCTTATATGTTCTCGTTCTGTGGTTTACACCCCCACTCCCCAAGAATTATAGGAACTGCTTTAGAGTAACTATATTCAGGCTTTTTAATATATATTTTTAAAAATCCCATTCACACCCTACAATTATAGCACTACAATACCACTTGAAAGCCATGATAATATTCCATGGAATCATAGGATCCGCAGTTTAGGAATCTTGGTGCCTCAACAAACTAGAAACCCGAGGATTTCTCAGAATGCAACCATAGCAATTTAAGTCTAATCCTACTTGCACAGTGTGAAATCAAACTCAGATATTGTGGAAGGACCTAGTGTCAGAAAACTTACTCACAACTACATATTCTGGCAGGCAGCCTTTTGGCTGGCGTACTCACAATTACAGAGCTGAAGAGGGTCTGGTAAGCCATTTAGTTCAACCTTCTTCATTGGAAGAAGAGCCCTTCAGGCTGCTGCTAGGGAATGTTGGCTAGAACTGTTGTTGACATGCAGATGTTCAAAGCATCTGGCCAGTGAGAAATTCGCTTTAAGTTCCAACTCATTTTAATTTGGTTCTGATGGAATGGACTAACAAAAACAACTTTTAAAAGCCCTATCATCAAACATCTTGATCACCAATATAATTTGTTTTAGATTTGATTCAACATTCTCAGGTTCCTGTGATTCCCATTTACCGGCTTTATTTAAAGAAGCTACCAGATGTTCTCAATTTCACTATTAAATCATATTTCAGGTTTGAATGATGCAAGATACATATGCACACAAAAGATTGACTCCAAACACAGAAGCAATTCATCTAGGCAGAAAACGAACCCAGACAGATGTTACACAACACTACCACACTTCAGAAAAGCACAGCAAACAGCTTTTCTTTCACACTTGGGATTTAATATCACACCAGATTTTGGTTCAGCAGGGGATTTTTATGCAGAACACATTTGCTAGTGAGTCCTCTAAAGCCTTCTGGATTTGTTTTCTTTTATTACATTTGTTTGGGTTGGATATGTTTTACTAAACTTATTCCTTGTTCTACAAGTACTTCTGGCACTGCGCTCACGTATTTCCAATCTCAGTGGTTTTCAACCTCTATTCTGAGAAGCCATGGAATCCTTCAGAAGCTAGTGAGGACTGTCACATCTTTTATAAGATCCAAACTCTATTTGGTAGGATCTGAAAAGCTTTCAAAATAGCCAGTTCTACATAATCAGTGCTTGTCATCTGAGTAACAATTCCAAATTATCCCACTCTCATTCATTTTTAGCACATAAACATTAATACAATTTGTTACCAGGACGAATGGCATCAAGCAAAAATTCATTATATCATTTTTAGTAATTTAATTCAAGTTTTAGGTTAATGGAAAATGTAAACCTCTCTGATTGGCTTCAAACATGTTATGTTATTGTCTTATAAAATACAAACGTATTCACTTCATTATGCGTCGATGGGTCAACACCCTTCATGCAAGAAGCAAAAGGAAACTACCCAGAAAATTATTTGCAACTTCTTCCTTATTTTTACACAAAGAACATCAATTGATTTCAGAACTCTGGGGGTGATTTGGGGAGATGGGGGATTAGACCTGTTTGGTTTCTCAGTCTTAACCCAGCAACGAAAAAAGGCATTTGTCCTGTTAGTTCAGTTTGTTTGGCCTTCCTCTTTATTTTGAATTCCCATTGAACCTGGCCTAAACCTGTTAGTCTCCACTATAGCAGGCACACTAAACTAAAATAATTTATGTAAATGCTGGCTTCATAAGTTCCCATTGATGTAATGGGTCCATAGCAGGTGGTACTAACATTTGTATTTAAGCACTTACTTCCTCAAAATAAATATTTGCACAAAGACACTCATGGCATTAAATCTTCTCTGAGCAAGTCTTCATGGGCAAGAAGACGTGGGCTAAACTGAAATCCACTACATAATGTTGGCCATTTCCATCGCGTTTGGGGAGTTTTATTGTTTTCTTTCAACTTTGCCCCACTTTTGGCAAAGTTGAGGTTACTCTGGAGCTTGATGAAAACTCCAGAGTATCTCAGAACTGCCCAGCTGGATTAGGCCAATCTGCTGTCCAGACAGACACTATGCCATCATCCTTCCCCTGCGCCGAATAGGAGGAGGAAATGTTTAATCCAGTGTTGCTGCTGCCTCTCTGAGACATCCGTGTAGCTCCATTAGCACTCCTGGCCTTTGTGGATGTCTGTTCTGATGTGAAAATGGGACACCCAAACAACCAGCAAGGAGTAGTCTCCCCTCTTTCTTTCTGGTCTCATAGACAATCTGTTCTGACATCAGCAGAGACACTCGTAATGCCCAAAATTTCACATGAAGCTCTGCGACCACCAAAAAGCTGTAGTGGTAACATGAAGGAAGATGTGACAATGTCCAATGGAGCTGGTGCAATCTTGTCCTGGATGCCTACATAGCACCACAGTAGATTTGGCTGGGTGGGTCTGGCACCACGTTTAGTGGCCAGTGTACACTTGGACTGTGTCTATTTAACATTTCCACACTTGCTGGCACTATATTCTACTAGAATTGAAAACAGTGGCGTGGATAACAGCTTTTGTTAGATTGAGGAGAGACCTAGGATCCATCTACACTGTAAAATTAATGCAGCTTGATACCAATGCTATGGATTCCTGGGAACTTCAGCTTTACAAGGTCTTCACCCTTCTCTACCAAAGAGTGATCATATTTCACCAAACTACAACTTCCAGTGTAGATGCTGAAGATGCAAATATATAAAGCTATTAGAAATCTTTATGTGGGGCTTTTCAATGAAAATAAAACAGTAGCAGTGGAAAAGTCAATGATTGAGAAGTTCCACAGCACTATCAATTTTCCCATAGACAGAACAAAGTGTTGAATGTTCATATACAGCACCTTAACTCATATGACACAACAATGAGATAAAATAGACTTGAGCTATTCAGTGAATGTAATTGTCTATCTCAGAATCTCCATGATACAACAGGTTCATGCCTGAAACAAGGTAAAAAGATTATCTAAAGAAAAAACTATTGTTGTGCACAGTATGAATGTCTGCTAATTATTCAGAAATCCTGTCACAATGAACTAATAGATTTGATAAATTCGTGACCTCAAAGTTTGGCTGTCAGATTCAATGCAATGTGCATCTTTTAGTTTATATACTTCAAAAATAGCATAGTTCTTGTTGGGAGAAAACTGAGTGCTCCTTTTGATAATTAGTTCCTGAGTTTCAACAGCAATCAAAAATCTTTATATTTCAGTAAAGGTGAAAGTATCCAGCTTAAAATGCTCTCCTCAAACTGTCTTTTACAAAAGGCAGTATCTTTACAAAATGTATTTCAAATTAAAGTTTGCAAGGGAATTTCCCCTTTAACAGAGCTCATTAAAATGATTTAGAAATCAATTTCAATGCAAATAAGTTTGGGTATAGAAATATTCAGGTCTTCATGATGAAGCCCTAAATGGCTGAACCATGTATATGAAAATTGGTTTATATAATTAGTGTTCATCTTGTATTCTGGGCTGCCATGTTCCTGCCAATGGAAGACAATAATCAAAAACAGAAAATTCAGTAGACCCTTGGGGCACACAACAAAGTTTTGGTAAAGTTCAGCTTGGCAGTTTCTAAGATGGAAAGGTCTAGAGAAAACAGTGCTTCCTCCAATGTGGAACTCCTTTACTTTTGAGCAGGCCTCCTCAAACTGTGGCCCTCCAGCTGTTTGGGCCTTCAACTCCCAGAATTCCTGACAATTGAACAAGCTCATTAGAGCTTCTGGGAGTTGAAGGACCATACAGCTGTAGGGCCATAGTTTGAAGAGGCCTGCTCAAGAGAATTACCTTTGTTTGAACATATACTACACCTCTTTTTTCTCAACTTCATTACTTCTTACAGAATATAAATACTGTAAATAAATAAATAAATAAATAAGTATTTTCAATGTTTGCAAATCACAGATAAGGTCCATTAATTTGACAAAGGATCCACTCATTAATTAGGTCGTCTTGCCTATGAGGCTTGATTGGGCCTGCTTGCAAGCACGTGTACAATCCCAAGGCTTGTTTGAGAAAAGAGTGAACCCCTCCTTGAATCACTTTATTGTTGTTGTTATTGTTATTATAATATCCTGCTTTTTTTACTCTTAAAAAAGACAGCTTCTGAATGCAGGCAAAAGACCTTTTAGATTTATCATGCATTCAAAAGTAATGTTGTATATTATTTACTTCTTTCAGCAGCCAATGGCTCTGCAAACAAAAATAATCTGGATTCCACTTTTCAACCAATTCCATTTTCTGACAGCACTCTGGTCCCTTAGCAGATACATTATATTTTCTTTTAAAGTTGTTATGTGCTTTGGTTTATATCAAATAGTTGAAAGGTAGTGATAAAAATTAAAATGAACAAATATCAGATCAATTAAATAAATAAATATCAGAATAATTAAATGTGAGCGTGGACTCAGGAGGGGAAGTAGAACGCTCAGAATAGGCCCACCTGCTTTTGTTGTCACTTTCAACAAATAGCCTTCCAAGTCGATGTGAAAATGTTCTGTTTCGTATGGCAGAGATATCCGTGTTCCATTCCACTTGACAGTTAGGTGCTGATGAAGACTGATGGTGCTGCTGCCCAGCACAAGGTCTACAGATTTTGTCCAAGAAAAAGAGCGAGTCCTTCGAGCATCGTTTTTCACCAGCACCTGAAAGGGTGAGGTAGAGGAGGAGCAGTCTTTTGTCAAAACATATTGACATGTTCCCTGAAAGTTAAATGTCCGTCCATCAAAAGTGTTGTAGTGGGGGTCTCCAAATACAGTGCAAACACCAGGCTCTGCAGGTAAGTGAGAAACAAAAGTGTCATCAAGACATATGTTAATGTTTGGAAAGTTAGGAATTATAGGAATGAAAAGCATTCACATTCAGGGCCAACTTCTATATTACAAGTTTTATATACATTTGAAAATGAAAGAACTATATAGGTAAACTCAGAAAGATAGGTTGAGTTCCAATCCCCATTCAAGAGTACACTCAAAATGAAACCTGGATTTACTGCTATGAAATTAATAAATTGTACTTACTACAAAACACTGAAATTCTGGACCGGTCCTGTAGATTACAACTACTCAACATCTGCAGACTATGTAAACTGTGATTGGTCATAAAATCCATATGTCGCACATTACAGCTTTATTATGCAATCCAGATACATACTATCAGGAGTAACTCCCACTTTATTTATTTCAAAGGCTCAAGGATCAGACCGATTTTATGGAGGCTTAAATTATATCTTGAGAGACCTTTATCTCCTTTTCACCCATTCACCCTGTCCATCTTATAACTGAAACTCCTCACACTGCATTATAAACTGCTTTTGAAACTCTGAAGAAGATAACAGTATTCCCCCATTATTGTTAAAGTACTGTCACTGCTTTCAGGTTATCTTGATTGTAAAACCCACAGCAAACATGCGGAGGACTGGATTGTATTGCAGACTTGCAGAATGAGGTCACTATCAAAGAACTGGTGGGAAATACTATGCATGCAGCCAGTTTATCCAACTTATTGAGGGAGCTTTTCCAAAACTTTTGGTCAATCTCATCACAATACTATAACATTTTTGCCATTGGTTTTCTTAAAATTGCAATAAAACAAATCCATAAAAGTAACACAGGAAGCCTGTCTTTCACTTTCACTATATTCCACTCCTTGTCTTGTGTACTCCAGCCTTTGCATTTCCTACCTTTTCTTCCATCCTTTTCATCAGCTCCCCCCAGACTGGAATGACCTGTGATTTGACAGCTAGATTGGCTGTCAGAATTTAAGACACAACTGATGACCTTTCACTTCTCGAAGGCCTACCCAGTCAATTTTAACTTGTTAATTTTAACCTGCATTTTACCTGTGTGTATTTTGTGATATGTATATCAATGCTGTATTTTGTGATATGTATAAAATTGCTGGAAGAAACATTAACAACCTGAGATATGCAGATGATAAAATTTGATGGCCAAAAGTGAGGAGGAGCTGAGGAGCCTTCTAATCAAGGTGAAAGAAGAAAGTGCAAAAGCTGGGCTGCACCTAAACATAAAAAAAACAAGATTATGGCAACAGAATGATTGATAAACTGGCAAATCGAGGGAGAAAACGTGGAGGGTAAGTGACAGACTTTGTATTTATAGGTGCAAAGATTACTGCAGACACAAACTGCAGCCAGGAAATCAAGAGACACTTACTTCTTGGGAGGAGAGCAATGTCCAATCTCGATAAAATAGTGAAGAGTAGAGACATCACACTTACAACAAGATCCGCATAGTTAAAGCAATGGTATTCCCCATAGTCACCTACGGATGTGAGAGCTGGACCATAGGGAAGGCTGAGCGAAGGAAGATAGATGCTTTTGAACTGTGGTGTTGGAGGAAAGTTCTGAGAGTGCCTTGGACCATGAGAAGATCCAACCAGTCCATACTTCAGGAAATAAAGCCCGACTGCTCATTGGAGGGAAGGATAGTAGAGGCAAAGATGAAGTACTTTGGCCACATCATGAGAAGAAAAGAAAGCTTAGAGAAGACAATGATGCTGGGGAAAATGGAAGGAAAAAGGAAGAGGGGCCAACCAAAGACAAGATGGATGGATGGTATCCTTGAAGTGACTGGCTTGACTCTGAAGGAGTTGGGGGAGATGACAGCCAACAGGAGGCTCTAGCGTGGGATAGTCCATGAGGTCACGAAGAGTCGGAAGCGACTGAACGAATGAACAACAACATATCAATGGTGTTGTGTTTTATCTCTCTATTTTAACCATGTTTTACCCTGCTTTGAGCTGCAAGGAGAGGTGGGTAATACATTTATTGTTGTTAAAATAATCATCAACATCATCATCATCGTCTCACCTTGGGACACCATTTCTCCTTTTCCTTTTTTCCCTCCTCTCTTGCTTCCTGGACCCTCCCAATGCATTTCTCACTTTCTCTTCTTTCAATTTCCCTCCCTTGTTCAACTCACCTCCTCTTGTTTCCTGTGTTCCATCATTTGTATGTCTCACCTTTTCCCCTCCTTTCATTCCATCTTAACTCATGATGCCACACCACTCCTGTTTTGCACCTTGCACTTGATAGCTACACCTTCCATCCTCACACCCTTACTCTTGGCTCTGAATGCATTCCTCCTCTGTTGCAGCTGCAGCTCCAGCCACAACGCTCTCTTCTTGTTTTACTTTACAGGGATGCCTGCCTACAATCTATACAAGCAGAGGCTGCACAAAATTGCTAGTGCTTCTTTAAACAGTGAGCAGGAAAGGAGGCAGATAAAAACAGTAGCAACAATTCTACTGCAACAGGAAGAACTGCAGCAGGAACAGTTTTTTTCTCCCTTGTTGTATCACTCCCCCCTAGTGTTCTTGCAACTGGAAAATTTGGTGAGAATTGACATCTGAAAAGTTTGTATTCTTGGCTACTTTCCCAAACATAGATATTATACCTGGAAAAGCTAGAAGAAATTGTTGGTGTGGATTATTTAGAAACTTCTGCTGTTACTCACACCTACATTTGTTCAACCACTTAATTTGATGGGCATAACTATTTGGTTTTCAGGCCATTTTCTTGAATACAAGATGGGTAAAAATAGCTCCTAATTATTTTTTGTTATTTGTTGCACAACCACCATTAATACAGAGAAAATAGTAAATGCAGTAAGCCAGGCATACATAGAAGTTGGAGTTCTGGATAATTTCATTTTGTTCCAGGTTATTTCTACATTAAATGAGTTTTTTAAGCATAATATTTGAAGTGTCTCTGTTCTAAAGTGTGCCCAAAACATTTCAATGCTTTTGGCTTCATTTTATTCAAAAACTGATCCATTCTGGACTATTTAGGTCAGGAATTTGCCCACAGGCAGTAGAAGAAAAATAATTGCCTCTTATAAATGGGGATTTGCCTTGAATGTGTAATAAAAATGTATGCTGTTGGTACATGTAATGAGTAATGAAAAACAACATGGAAAGTTAAATACAAATAATTATATTCCAGGTTCACTCTACTTTACTGCATTTCTCCATCTTCACTACAATGGCTCCACAGCGTTCTATGCAGTATTTCCAAAAGTTTCTGCAAAACAGATTTCAGCTGAACTATTAAAATATTTCAGCTGAATTCTTTTTAATAAGGCTGAACTATTTCAACCCCTATTAAAATGGCCACCAGTGTGTCTGCAGAGAAGCTTAAGCCAAACCTCCACACTACCTCAATCACCTAAAATTACTCCCATGCTCTGGTGAAAAAAAAAGATAACAAAAGAGAGGGTTACATTTCTTTCTCAGTTTGGAAAATGAAGAACCTTCCCTCACCTGCCTCTTCACTGCCTTTGCGCTGTCCCTATCCCAGCATTGGTCCCATGTACACATTGGTCCAGGTTTTGTGGGCTAACATATTGTCAAAAGAATTTCAACTTATACATGAGTATAGAATATTTCATCACATAATGGTCACCCTTTCTTGGATCCTGGTTTTTGTTTTTTAGGATTCCTTGCATAATAATCACACCCTTAGTTCATGGGTGTGACTATTATGCGAAGGAGGCGGGAACACGAGCAGGTGAGGCTTCACTCACTCACATACCTGTCTCCTTGGAGCTGCGGAGGTGAGAGGCAGGTGGGCAGGGAAGTTCACCAGCCTGATTGCCTCTCCATGAGCTACAGAGGATTGTCTTAGCCAAGGGTTGGTTGGGCGGGTGAACCCGCTCACCTTCCTGCTTCTCCCCTCCAAGCTACAGTGACTTTGTAACTTGGAAGGGATAGACAAAATCACCTGCTCGAGTGCCTCTCTCTTCTGAGCTATAGATAGCTCAGAAGGGAGAGGTTAGTAAGTGAGAGAACTCACCTGCCTCTCCCCTCCACAACTACACTTTGGGGGTGCAACTGTGCAGGCAGGCAAAGCTTTACCTGGGTTGTTGTAGGTTTTTTTGGGATGTATGGCCATGGTCTAGAGGCATTCTCTCCTGACGTTTCGCCTGCACTTTGGCAAGCATCCTCAGAGGTAGTGAAGTCTGTTGGAACTAGGCAAAAGGATTTATATATCTGTGGCATGACCAGGGTGAGACAAAGGACTCTTCTCTGCTAGAGCTAGGTGTGAATGTTTCAACTGACCACCTTGATTAGCATACAATGGCCTGACTGCGCCTGGGGCAAACTTTTGTTGAGAGGTAATTAGATGTCCTTGTTTGTTTCCTCTCTGTTGTTGTGCTGTTGCAATTTTAGAGTTTTTTAATACTGGTAGCCAGATTTTGTTCATTTTCATGGTTTCCTCCTTTCTGTTGAAATTGTCCTCATACACATGTTATGGTCATATGACCATTTCAAATCAAATTAAATGTATTCAACTCAGGCTGAAATCTCTTCCACTGATATGAATGGTACTTTGAAATGCTTATTTTTATTTTTATTTTTTGCTGTTCAGCCATTCTCTTTTCCATTTATTTCAATTACCTCACTGGATGAGACATCTCTTTCAAGCATTAAAGATGATATTCACTCAAGCACATTGGAAAGCTGCACATGCATGCAGACATACATACTTGAATACCTAGCAGCTGCTTCCTTTTCATTTTCCATTTGTAAAGTGTAATTCCACATGCTGAACACCCATTTTCCTGAGTCATTAATATAAATAAATCACACAGATTTGTTGTCCCAGGACTTAGCATCCCAAGTTTAAGAGCCATCGCATGGCGAACTGCTACTATAAATTGCTATACCATTGTAAGGATCTTTGAAGGATTTCTGGACTATTTTCATTGTGTCTAATAACCCATACTGGGAAGATTTTGCAAATTAAAAGTG